GCAGGTTAAGCTGTGCTTCCCAAAGCAGTTTGAACTTAAGGTGAGAGCGGCAAACATCCCTGAGTGTGATGGCTGGTAAGCAGATTTTCTGCCTTCTTGAGCAAAAACTACAATAAGGGAGACTGGGAAGAGAATGTGGGGGGGGGGTTAAGGAGAATGACAACACGCTTTAGTGCTTACCATCAACAATATGACGGCATGTGGAAGGTCAGAGAGCTGAGAGCTACCTGGTTGACCCTCCACACAGTGCTGTCGCCTCATAATCTGCCTGTTAAAGGGACAATGTGTAGTACTTTAAGTATTTTATTAGCTAAAATCATTGTTTTCATTTCTAAAAGTGTACTCATTTGGTGTAAAATGATCTCTGCAATGATCTGACTTCTCCTTATAAGGAAGAATTTCCTATCTGTACATACACAGGACGGGTAAGTCCATGGAAGTTTCCATGGCGATCGGCCATTTTGAAAAACTATAAGAGAGGGACATAAAGCACTAGTCTGCCTGTCTAGCTAAAGTTAAGCTAACAACAACAAGCTAAACGTAATTCTCTATCTTGTTGGAGGAGTATTTACATGCTCGCACTAATGATTCAATGCAGTTTGTAGTTTCTTTTAAATTTTAAATTCCAAACCTCATCACCAGAGAAAACTCCATGATGTGGAAGTCATGCTGTCATTACTTTTTGATGCCTGACGGCTAGCGTAGCTGCAATACCGATTTGGAAACGGGGGCGCTAGAAAGCAGATTTGTTAGGATGCAGAACACAGTTTCACTGTTAGATGGAAGGATTCCTGCTCCGTCTCCCTTTAAAATCTGATTTACTCAACCATTTCTTTTCTAAATAAACCACAAACCACGAACAGAAAGCGCAAGAATCCCAAAGCAGGTAAAAGATACAACCAATCGGTTTAAATACATCTTGAAGCATTTTTAAATCCACACTGATCTGGAGAAACTGCTCAGCCGGTTGTGGAGGAGCATCCCTCCTACTTCACCCTGGTTTTAAAGGCTCCGTGCTCCCGCCCCTCATTCCTCAGACTTCCTTATCCTAAAATTATAC